TGGTAATTAGTCGTATTAGGAAAAGCTAGATGAAGTTCCAGAAATTCACATAAGTTTTCAGTACTTCTTGAACATTTACCACAAAGTAAACAAGTGAGGATTTTTCCAGCAAAAGATTTACAAACACAAGACGAGATGGGTTGTACGGAATCATTCAGTCCAGAGCGGCTGGGAGTATTGATTTTGCTATTGTTTTGCTCACGAAGAGTATTCAACAAGAACCCCAAGAATTCGGAACAATCCTCTTGTTATCCTAACGAGTATCTAGTGGACTTCAAAGTTTCTTTTCAATTTTTCATTTGTATTGGTTCTTTTAGGGATTTCAAATTATTTTATACCACATTAGACAATGGAAGTCCGAACTAATGAAATTTATCATGAAACATTGTCGATCACTTTCATATTATGTTATATTAATTATACAATGGAAGTCCGAACTAGTAAAATGAACTCTTTTGATTTGATAATTATTGTAAAGTATTCCCTCGTCTGAGAAACTTTTGGAATTGTATTCAACTATTTTTTCTTTATCTATTTAATGGTGTTCTTCCAGTGGTGAATCAGTACTACGAAGCCCAGGTGTACGACGTATTCGTAATAAAAGGTAACACAGCAGTCTTCAAGTGCCAGATCCCTTCTTTTGTATCGGACCACGTGGAAATCGTCTCTTGGCAAGATACCGCCAGTAATAAGTTCTTGCCGCCTACCGATGATTATGGTATATCTATAAATAATCGTGAATACGGTTTTACTAGTTGTAATCATTTTTATGGGGATTAACCACAAATGTATGATTTACAGCAGCCGAGCCATGAATTAGACATTAACGTAATGAATATTTATTACAGTAGCTATAAGTGGAGTTTTTTTGACGCGTTTTCATGACTTGAGAAGTTTGAAACGATTGGAAATTTACCATACTCGTATTTGTTGGCAACGCAATGGTCTAACGGTCTAAGAAAAAGTTGGTGTCATGTTTTAATTATTGTTATTTATTGATAAATTAAATATTATTTGCCGGATAATTGAATAGAATTATTCCTATTCTAGACGACCTATAGGAGTTTTATTCTTGCTTCATACAGGGCTATTCAAATTCGTTTCTGTACATGGGGATCTCGTAAACGATAAGAGATAGAGTGTCGGTTAAATTGTGGCAAAGTTGCTTATTTCAGAGACCTTTTCAATGATGTAAAAAAATTGAATATAGCCCTTTTGGTTCTGGAGAT